TCAAACGTGATGGCACTTCAGCTTTTTCAATATATGGTCAAATACGCTTTAATAAAATTTTTTATAATTTTGTATAACAAAATCGTGAAATTTTAAAAAATTTTTTTTTGTTTTTAACTTGTACTCATTTCATTAGAAGGAATTTAGTAATATTCACTTAAACTTTAAGTTTTCAAAGAAAGCAATATTACTTCTGAGGAAACCAGAGCGAAATTTGCGTGCTGCATTCGATTTGCCAGATGTGGAATCATTTACCGGCACTGGTGACGCATTTTCTTTAGCATGATCATTAAGTATAACTGCTTCTGCCACCGTTTCAATAGCTTCTTCCACTTCCTTACTTGTAGGTGGGTCACTAATATATAAATAAAGAAATTAAACATAAATATATTACTCAATTTATTCTTAAATATGTAAAACTTACGTTTCGAGTGAAGATAAATCTGAAGATATAGTTGCATCTTCAGCGATTTCCGCAACTGATGGACTAGTTTCAAGTTTATTAATTGGTGCTGGTGAAAGAGTATTTTTTGTTGTTTTTGGCTAAAATAAATAAAAATAACAAATTAATTGCTTATTATTTATGCTTAGGTTAAAAAAGATCTATTTTTCTAAATGTTAAATCATATAAATGGCATCAGTAGCTCTTGATTGTCTGAATTAAACGGCGATTCCGTAAACCTAGCTATATCTAATATAAATGTTAGCTGTTAGCGACATTTAGACCTATTCATCTCTACCGATAACATATAAGAATATGTAATATATAAGCCTGTGCAAACATTTTATGAATTTAAGGAGTGCTTGAAGATCTATTTTTGAGACAAAACTATCAAGCTTTTTCTAAGCGTGTTTATAGACCATACGTTATTGGGGTTCGAACCCAAACCCCTTATAGTTTTAGTACATATGTACTATATACATATAGTACATATATTATTATTATACTATATATTAGTACATATATATTATAGTACATATATCTAACTAATTATAATAAAATTGACAACTAAAACTTTGGTAAATATTAGCTTGAATAATATCAAGCTCAACTTGAAACGTACAACTCACTATAGTCCGGTGTTTATGAGAACTTACCATAGGCCAACGTTTATCAGTTTTAGTATTTTTATTTGATGCCAAAATAAATGCACGTGCTAGTGCTTTAACTGACGGCAATGCACGAGCAACATCCTCTTCAATAACAGGCTTTTCTTCTGGTTTTTCTAGAGGTTCTTCCTGAAAAACAAAAATAATTAAATAATTTAAATGATTGCATTAAATGAATGATTGTATTATTGCATTAACAAGCTTGTAGGTGAATACTTACTGGCATGTCCTCATCGAAGGATAATACTTGACTAGGATCTATAAGTTTTCGTTTTGGTTGTAAGAATTTAAAAGCTGTTGGAGTACTGCCTCTAGCAGGCGTTACGACCGGTGTGGTCGGAGAAGATGGTGTTTCTGAATTAGCTGCAGCATTAGTATTAGCATTAGCATTATTAGTATTACTTTGAATTGCTAATTCCGTAGGACGGGGTTTCTTAGCTATCGGACCTGCAGTTGAAGCTTCAGTAGCTGTTTCAATTGTATCTGCAACAACTGCATCTGCTGCACTTTTTTCTTTGATTTCTTGGCGAATTTTGATGGTTTCCTGTTTATTAAAATCATAGACACGCACTGTATCCGAATCATCGCTACTTGTGATTGTGTTTAATGATTGCATTGATGGAGTCGAATAGGTTTCAATGGAGGCATGGTCTTCCACCACCGCTTGGGCAGGTACAGCTTGATAAATACCAGTCTCAGATATTAACTGAGTGGTAGCGTTAGCTTGTGAATCAGATACTTTTGCTGGCTGCTTACAGTGCAGTATTAAAAGCATTTTTTATAAGCAGTTTGAAATTGTTATTTTGAAAATGTAGTATTATTTGTTTTTGTTTTTTTTGAGTGTTTTGTTTGTATATGAAAATAGAAGAATGCATAAAAAACATAAACCCATTAATTTGTTAGTAAAAGGCACTTACAGTTTAATATATAACGTTAATTTTGAAATGGAATGTTTACTGCTACTTTTTTTTATCATATAATTAAATAAAAATAATATATTATCATGAATGATTTAAAAGGATACTGAAATTTTTTTAAAAAACCGTCAATACTTATGCATATATTATTATAAACTATATTTCATGAAGGAAGTAATAACTTAAAACTAGGCCCGAAGCATAAAATAATTGCTAATGTTAATATAAAGTATATTTTAACTTTAATTAATTATTAAAATTACGTAAATGATATAGCCCACTAATCAAAGATTGTTAATTTAGTCGAATATATAAATTAAAATAGATAAACACTATTTACGAACGATAGCTTTAGTTTAAAGTATTAATTTTAAATATTTAGAATTACCAGTTATAAATATCATGCAATAATAATAAGACTATAGTAAAGAATTACGTAGTAGTAATAATAATTATAGAAAATAAGTAGAAGATTTTAAATAAATATTATTAAGCATTCAAAAAATAGTAAAAAATCACAAAATTTTTAAAAATGGTTAGAGTTAAGTTAGAAATTATTTTTTTTAGTAAAATGACGTTAGTCAGCGATAAATAAATTTATGTTAAAGTTTTACTAATAATCTATTAAAAATACATGAATTACACATTTAAAAGATATAGTATATATTCAATCAATTCTTTCTTTTCTATATACTGCACTATCACTAATAGCATATTTTAATAAGAACGAATGACTAGAGATATTTAGATCCTAAAAAGTACTTCCACCCTATCTACTTTACACCGTATAAAGTATGAATTTTGAAAAATTTGAACAAATAAGCAATCTACTTTGAACCAAATTGCTGTGGACAGCAATTATAAATGGGCAGTGAGTACTGCCTTTAATGTTCATATGGCAGATAGAAAAGATAAGTATACATACGGATGCAAACTGTAAATTCTGCGAATAGAATGAAGAGTCAGCCACACATGAAAGAATGCCCTGCGCGAATGCACATACGAAATAGATTCCTGGGAATATTCATGGGAAGAGGCAATAAAACTCTGTAAAATAGGTTCTATACTACTTTTTATTGACGCAACAGGGCCTAATACCCATCCCGAAATGTAAAGCTGTGAATTTAAACCGAATTGCAATCAACTATCTGTGTGTAGGAAACTTTAACAGGAGGGTTGCTAATCCCATAATAATGAAAGCAGCATCATATCAAAGAAGAAAAAATACTAGAATTAGGATTTTTGAAGGTCATATAAAGTCTTGGAGAGTTAGCTAAGTTACTGATTCTGTAACAGTGACACCACAACTATACTTATTAAGATTCCTTATGTTTTTCTTTTGCTATAATGGAGAAATAAAGATGAGATGTTTCCGCTGACTTGATGTTAATGATTGCAAAGCAGTTGTAAGACACTGTGAGGACTTGAGGAGTATTGTAAAGTAGGTCAAGATTTAAGAAGAAGTATGTTAGAATGGTTTTACTAGAGAAATTTCTGTTTTGATTAGATGTCCTGAAAAGTTTTTGTTACAGTATACTCTTACCCTAGAGCCCTAGAGTGTAGTTATATAACATGTTTTTTGTTTTAGACAGTGATGACGTTCTGTCACATTATCGATGCTGATTTTATAAAGATTTTGTCTATATAAAGTAGGTCGGTTGAAACAAGAAGTCATTATTCAGTCTTCGTTTAATTAATAAAGTATACAAAAATTATAATTATTTTTTGGAACAAAATAACTAAGACTTTTTAACAGAAATGAAAAGTTAGAATATATTATTATCGTCGAAAATGGAATTCCCCAAAAAATATTGCGAAGAAGTCATTATTTAGTCCTCACGTAATTAATAATAACTAAGACTTTTTAACAGAAATGAAAAGTTAGAACATATTTGTATCTTGGAAAATGGAATACTACAGAGAACTATTTTATTTAAAAAATTTTTTTTTTGTTATTTTTACTTACCAAATGGACATGCAAATATGTTTGCCACAAATTTGACTAAAAACTGCTTAATATTCTTTGGATTTTCATTTAAAATATTTAAAATTTTATTGTACAAATAATGAAATTTTTAAAAAATAAACAAAATATTAGCTAATAACTATTCACACATATTAATTGAATTTTGCATTATAAAATAAACTATTTTGTGCATTTGTTATACAGTTTATAAATAAAAAGCACGAGCATTAAAATAAATAAAATAAAGATGAAAATATTAATTAATTAAATGACAATTCAATATAAAAAACTCCAGGCTAAAATACGTACTTGCAACTAAAATAAAAACTCAAAATAAAAGAAAAATATATTTCAATGTTAAATTATTTAAATTATTTAAACTTTATAAATTTAGAAAAAAAATTTAACTTTTTTTTTGCATATCCTGCAGAGTTTAAAATAAATTTTGCCACTTATTTGACATAAAATATTTGCTGAATTGAGGATTTGGAAACATTTTGTTGCAAATTCGAAAAGTAATTGCCACGCCCCAAAAATTGTTAGTCGAAAGCGTCAAATTTTGAAACTTAAAACTTTGATAAAATAACTTGAACTATCATTTAAATTTGTTACACTGTTAATGGCACAAGTGTTATTCTATAAATAAGAGTATATAAGTATATCTAAATGAATCTAGATATTTCGTATTTAAAGGCACATAAAAGATAAAATGAATATAAGAGAGATTCTTAATAAAATCTTAAAATACCTCAATAAAAAAAATCAAAGAAATTTAGTTTAATTGCATGTCAATGTATATGGTTCAGAAATATTTGAAAGTCTGTGAATTTATTAACATTGAAAAATAATAGCAATAAAATTATACTACATTATGCTTTCTACTGCCCATGGCAGGTTTGGAGTCACGTGACATATCAATCTACTATGTCTCCGCATTTTTAACATCAGCGATCAATCTTTCCTATGTTATGGCTCTGGGATCTGTGTGTTTCTCAAGTATTATCATGTTAAGCTAGTCGATACGTAGCTAAATTTGAATAGCTATCAATAATATATTTTATAACACTTATAATATATTAATACTATTCAAATATCTTTATAAATGCTGACCATCACATTTCAGTTTAAATGTCAAAGACTTCCTGTGTCTATAGCAAAAAACTGGTTTGAGTCCGGATTCCATACAAATAAAAACTGCATTTTAGCCGGTTCAACACTGAAAGGACCATTAGCTGCCTAACCAATTAATCTAAGCTTGCCACGGAAAGCATGGCGGTATATAAAAAGCCTGTGCACATTATTTGTAAGAACCAACGCATTAATTACTTAATGGGGCCTAAGATATGATTCAGTTGCAATTGGTTATGGGTCATATTGCTTTTTATGCTTTCCTAAAGCAATGTTTAGGTTGAATATACTACATCTTCAACAATTTATAAATTTATAATAACTTTACAAAAATGGTTCTTCAATGGATTGAAATATCATATTGCGTAAGTCAATGGACTTAGGCAATATGGGCGCACTTTAAATCACAGAAAGCCAGCGTGAATTGTTATAAGCTTATATATATTATAAAAATTCGTATAGGAGACGTTATTAAAATTTCCTCTGCATCCCAAGCTTTGGTTTAAAACATTTATCGAAACATAATATTTTAGAAGTCTTACTGGCATCTTAACGTAATAGGTTGATTTGGTCTAAGTTTGTTAGCTGATAAGTTAGAAATTCTATCCCTACTACGCTATCCTGTCTACTTACCTATGCTTCGACTGGAATATATAGCGCCAACATATATACATATTTATATATATTTATGTTGGTGATGTTTGTATTAAATTTTTGAAATCAAATTACTCACAATGACAATAATAATAATACATTGTTTAAAAACTTAAATTATATTATTTGTGTAAAAGCATAGTAAGATAATACCTGATGAAGTATTTTCATATTTGCTCAACAATTGTAGGCATCATACTAATTATATATATACCAATAAGCAGATATAACTAACTTAGTTGGTTTGTTTCTATTTTACGACTAAAATCTGTCAGAGGAGGATAATATGTTAATTATCTAAGATCTAAGTAATTTCTGTTTTATCTAAAATGTCATAATTATAATAAATGAATGTTAGACGACAGATTATAAGGAACAGTAGAAACACGCAGAAAATAGATAGGTGGAGTGAACAATGACTTACGCAGTGTAGGTGTCAGCAGAAATAAAGGAAAAAATTGGCAAGAATGGAGTGCTATTATGATACATATTTAAGTTCTTAAGTGTTATGTAGAAAAGGAATATTTTTTTATTTTTATTGACATTTAAAATGAAAAAAGGGGTAGTGATTGTTCACAATGAGAAACCACTATTTACAATTTTTTTCTGCGAATATTCTTGTCAGGAACTGTAAGTATCTAACTTTAAATCTATAAAAAAATCTCTTTGTTAATATTACAAAAACCGCAGATCATAACGTACGTATGCATTAATCATTTATAATATCATGTAATTACAGTGGAAACTCTCTTAAACGAACATCGATAGAACCAGCAATTCTGTCCAGTTAAGAGGACAGTATGAAAATAATAAAAACGATTAAGATAGATAAATGTCTGTTTATGAGAATGTTGGTTCGCTTAGCTGAGATTTAACATTTGTAGAATGAACTGTTTTATTTTTTCTAATTCCTAAGCCAAACAATAATGGCTGCAATAGCTATACGACTATATTTTATAATAGAAGTATAAAATAGTTGTATTTTTTAGACATTTTTTCGTATAATTTTATTAACGTTTTCCAAATATCATATAATTAAAAATTTTATTTATATATTTTAAAGTTTTCTTATAAGTGCAAAGATGACTATAATAGCTAATATATTTTTTAAGCAAACAATTTATACTTTTAACATATTTCTGACCATAATAATGACTAAATCTTTAAGACAAATAACAATTAAAATCCTATTCTCTTTCTTCAGAAATGCTTTCAATCTAATATTTAAAACTGAAATTAAATTTGACTAGTAAATAATAAGGATTTATTTACAAAATAATATATAAAATGCTTACTAATTATTTAAATTTATTTCTGTACAAATTGTTTTGTTAATTAAAAGCTTTTAATTGTTTAAAATATTAAAATAGCAAGCTATTGTTGCTTTGATTTTTTATATCTTTTCCACTAAAACCATTTAGACAACTATCTATACCAGAGTCTACTTGATCATCATCTGCCTTTACAGATAGTTTTGGTTTACCATTTGTGCCATAGAATTGATCTCGATCATATAATGGATTCATAACAAAATCTTTTGTGCTAGCTGAGACAGCACGGAAGCTATTTCTTTTCATGTCCTTGTGCAGCAATTGTTTTTCGAATTGTGACAAAATGTTAGCTTTGGGTATGGTACGTTTTTGGGTGTTGGAGGAATTAAGTGATGCACCACTAGCAGAACTGTTAACACTTAAGGAGGAGAGTGTACATCGTTTTGGTAATGCAGTTATAAAATTAGCTGAGGCACTTTTCCACGAACGCAGCGAACATATGTCCGCATTATCGTCCATGTTGTTGTCGTCATCAGCATCATCAACATTATCACGATAATGAGATGCTGAAGTGGATGAACGTGGTGGTAGCTGTAGAAGTGAATGTTGTGATTTGGTCGTAATATTGGGAGTTGTGTTTATGGTTGAGCTGAAATGTGATATTCTACTTGGTGATGTAGCATTATTAATGAATTTTAAGGAACTGCTACGACGCACTGGAGTGGAAAGGGTCCAATGATTAGCGCTATTATTTCTTTTTAAATTTGCACTACTTGCACATTTTATGTTGTCATTCATGGGATTTACCTCATTTATAACGATCTCTTCTTCATTCTGCCCCTCATATGATAAAGTGGGTGATGAACATTTTGTATTTGATACTGAACAGTTTGTAGTAATATTATTTACGTAATAATCACGGCAATATCTGTAAATACAAAAATAAATAATGAAATATGTTTTTTATCATTATAGAAAAAGAATTCATAAAGCTGAATTTCGAATAGAATATAATAATATTCTATTCAAAAAATATCTATTTTATATACACAATATATAAATGTATATTGATTTAAAGTATGGAGAATGCAAGGCTTTGATTATCGCTTATATAAGTATCGGTAATAATCTTATATCAATTTATTTTGAGTTTTTATAGGAATACGTGACCGATAGCTTTAAGGACTATAAGGGCTTAAGAGTACATATGTATATATATAGTATATATAGAATATACTACACTTAGAAAGATCTATTATAAGAATAATATCTAAAATCTATTATAAGAATAATTATAAAAATAATATTGGCAATATTCAGAGAATTATCAAAGCTTCGGATATTTAATACTAATATTTTCGTCTATGATAATATTGTTT